ACTTTATCCAACAGACTCAAACCTACCGGGACCGAGGAAAGAGAAATGACAAACTTGGATAAAAGTAATGATCGTACATATCAGGACCTTATCACAACTGGCGGCGTTGACATTGCATACCAGGCTTTAAATTATCAAAACGAGCAAAATAAAACAGAGATGGATTATGTCAATAATCCTGGACCAAGTTGTTATGAGGAGATTGAATTGGAACAAGATATATCGAAACGAAAGAATGTGAGGCAGCAACAAGCAGATGACCATTACGTAAACTCTACTGCCAACATTGAACAAGATGAGATAGCTAACGTGTCGGAAATACGGGAAGCATTGATCGTCTTGCAGCAATGTGTTACTTCCTATGACGTAACAAATGATAACGAGAAGAAGGGGGAAATGTCTCACGCACAGAAGGCAATGACAACGTTAATCAATTACGTAAATGCGCGTAAAACAAAGTGAATATGAAGAAATCGAACGAAAGTCTTCACAACAGTAGTCTGTTCATACATATAATAGTTGTTTAGAATAACATCAATATACCACGATTATATTCAACATTGTACTCATGTATGGAATTTAATAACAATTATATAACATTAACGAGAAAGATGGGCAACGATATTACTAATATTGCATACAGAATAGTTTTTAAGCTCAATGTGTGGTGTTGCGGTGTTGTGGAGCTAGGTTAGTGTAGGTATAAACGATATTGACATATAATGTGTTACGTTTAACAGAGATGTTCAACATTGATTAAACGACAACAATCACTGCAAATAAATGTATTTTCAATTATTTGGCTACTTTTTAAACTACTAAATTTTCGGTAATGTTAACTTGGTAATGGCAATGTGGTTAGTTTTCAACACACAGGCTGCTTGATACGAGATTCTAGATAAATAAACCATTTCCATTAATGACGCCATTAGCGGCGGTGCGTTTCTCTTGCTTCAAAATTAGTAGTGTAAACGCTCGTCTAATCTTTGATAATGGACGACTGAAGATCAGAGAAATATTTGACGCTTTACGGCATTTGTGTCATACGTCATAGAAGCGCGTGGTGGCCAGAGGGCGCAATTTTTAGGTAAGGGGTATTGACGAATATTTTTGATCTTCTTGACAGTAGAACAAATATAACTAGGGCACCATTTATATATTTCACCATCTGTTTAGCTACAAACGCAGAACATGCCAAAAATTAGGTATCGCGCACTTGGCGCTTGCTATCATGTATCTTACTCATTTTTGGCCGTAGTCGCCATCCCGGTTCGCCTTACATACGGGATTTGTAGGTCAATGCATATATCTGCATCCGGACGCTTTATAGTCTATAAAGGCGTTGTTGTAATAAAACACTAACAAGGTAAAGTGCCTGGCTAGGACATTCCATCAGAATTAAATACAATGTGGTGTTGGCACAGGTTAGTAGACAAGACAAACACTTTTATCTGCAAATTCCGGAATATGAAATAGCTCAAGGAAATAGAGGAATAATGGAATGAATAATCTAGAAAATAACATAACCGTATACTATTTGCTTTACAAACAATTAATACATCTCGCTTATTTTGGTATATGGTATGTGAAGTGAAATATATTGTGTTTAAGCAAAATTTAAATAAAGTATGGGCTAATCGAATCTCGGATATGACGGCAGAGAAAGTGTGCAAAATAGTTTTCTCCATCATGAAGATTTCTGAATGTTTTAAATTTTTTTTTTTTCGTTTTCACTGAAATTATTGTTTCCGGAAATTTAGGTATGCAGATTTGTTTATGTTATTTATTCCCGAGTTT